GCTCAAAACAACCAGCCCCTCCAAATATAAAGATCCAATTCTAAAATGGGCATCTGAAATGAACAGACATTTCTCAGATAAAGAAATAAAAACAGCAAGTAAATATATGAAAAACTGCTCCACATCACTGGTCATTTGAGAGATGCAGATGAAAACAACACTGAGATTTCACCTCACCCCACAAAGAATAGCTGCTATCAAGAAATCACACAATAACAAATATTGGCAGGGTTGTGGGGAGAAATGAACCCTTCTCCATTGTTGGTGGGAGTGCAGACTGGTGCAACCACTATGGAAATCAATATGGAGATACCTCAAAGAGCTGGGACTAGAGGCTGCATTTCACCCAGCCATCCCTCTGCTGGATATCTTTCCAAAATAATTAAAAGAATCATACCACAGTGATATATGCTCACCCATGTTTATAGTGGCACAGTTTGTAATAGCTAAAACTTGGAAACAGCCCATCTGCCCATCAGTTGGATAAAGAAGATGTGGTTTTTCTATAAAATGGAATACTACTCAGCCATAAAGAATGAGAAAGTAGATTCATTCATAGGTAAATGGGTACATTTTGAGGATATACTCCTAAGTGAAATAAATAAGTCACACATATGCAAATACCGAATAGTTACTCTGGTGTGAAAAACTAAAATAGTACTCAAGATCCTAAAGGGACAATTAGCATTGTGAAACAGGAAGAAAAAGACCAAAGGTGTAGGGACAGTGAGAAGGATAGGGAAAGTGGAACAAGGGAAAAGGAAAAAAATATGAGAAAATGTAAAAATGGAATTAAAGTGCTTGAAGTGGGGAGGGGAGGGTGAAAGGAGGGTGGGGACAAGGGGAAAAAATGAGAACCAAGGGCTGGCACATAAAGGTACAAGATCCCAATAATTAATGTAAGTCTACTGTCTACTTAGAATGTACCAATAAATTCCATTTAAATAAAAAAGAAAATATATTTTTGTATAAATAATTATATTGCAAAGGTCTACAGATAAAAGCAATTGGGAGATCTCAGTGGAAGAAGGCATTGATTCAGACAGGTATGAGAAAGTTTCATGTAGGAAGTCCCATGGAGTAAAGGTTTAGGGGGTGAGTAAGGATTGATGGATGTATTAGGCATCCTGGGGCTCCTGGGATGAGCAGCAGTTGCATTTCTGGGCCAAACACAGCAGGATCAGCTCATAGGCTCTGTAGCATAGTGGTTCTGAAAGTCTAGGTTCCCTCCTGAAGAATCTTAAGAGGGATAGGAAAGGATCAAAGAGGCATTTTAAAAAGATCAATATTGAATGTACAACAGACAAGTTAAAGGGAAGAGCACTGGAACTGGGGAACCTGTTAAGGAATGTCTCTCTTTCATGCAGGAAATAGCTGGCTCTCGACAAAGTTGGAGCAGGGGGCAAAGAGGACTGTGAGTATAACTGATAAATATGCACTGAGCATTTCTCCCCCTTCTCCAATTCATCCTTATACTTAAAAATTATATTGGCCCATATGCAGCCATTTGTTTTACATTTCCATCCTTTTAAACTTCCCAATAATTAAACAAGGTATATTCATTATTTTCCTTGTTTTGTGGAAAGGAAAACTAAGATATAACTAGGTAAGTCAACCTTCAAGACAGTCCATAGAAAGGGGTAAAGTCAAATGTCATGGTCAGGCAAGTTGCCCCGGCCTATGTCCTGCCACAAAAAAAGGAGGTGAAACCACCACCCCAACAAAATCTAAAACCACATGACATATATGGTTCAGAGGAAAGGTTGTTTCAAATTTTTCCTCCAAAATGTAGTGTGTAGAGTCTGAAAGCTTTTTATGACAGTTGCTTCTTGCTGCCACAGGATGTCACCATTGGAAACCTGCCTCCCCAAAGAAGAAACACTGGACCCTCTGCAGAAATTCCAAGGCCCTGTGGTTCTACAAGGGAGGGAGAGAAGCAACTTCACCCCATACACTGGAGCAGATCTGGCCAGAGCACGGATCATTCAATAGATAGATCCCTAGACTGTGCCTCTGGCTGTCACTTCCCAGCTTTGTCTGTGCCCTGGGACTTGGTCAGCTTGCTCTGCTCCAACTTCCCCATGTCCTGTCTGTCACTGTTCACCTCAAAACATAAAACTAGGGTAATACTACTTTCTATAGACACATCATCCATGCTTCTTGATGAACTAGTTATCTTGTGGGGGCCCCTACCATAGATGAATTTAAAAGCTATGTCGTAGAATAGACAGAGTTGTTACTCTGACATGAGAGGTGGAGGGGAAGGAGGGAGGGAGGAAGGGAAGGGGGGAATACAGAGACACTAGGAAGTCTAGGGTCATGTTAGGTTTCTGGCTCATGGGATTTTATAGGTGGGATTCATTCCCCTGGAAGGGAGACAACCGTGCTTTGAGTCAATTCACTAGGCCCACCTGAGGGGCTTTTCCTTCTAGACCTTTAGCAACATCTACTTGTTCTTGGCTCCACTGTTCAGACCTGGGAAAATGCCAAATATGGGTGGGCATTGCATGGGGCCTGTCTACAGGGGGAAATAAAGCCAGGGATTCTCTGGATTTAGAGGCATCTCTCAGCTGGAAAAAAAACAGCAATTTCATGAGGATCCATCCTTAAGCAGAGTTGAAAGAGGAAGACACCACAGTATAATTCATAATACTATTTTGTCACATAGAGAACTTAGGTTGGGAACAGGTTTAGGACAATCCAGTTGGGTCAGTTGAATGTATTGAAGGTGTTCTCAAGGTACAATGAAATACTAGTCACAAATGTATGTGTGTATGATGTATACTGTATATGTATCTGTTATGGCTTGTCTCTAGATGTCCCCTCAAAGCTTCATGTGTTTATAGGTGGGGATTTTTAGAGGTGGCTCAATCCAGGGTATGTGCTTCTAGGATGTAATGTTGGGATTGATTCATGATGATGTGATGCTAGGTTAAGACTGCACCCCTGCCCCATATGAGTACTACTTGCCCTAAGGGTGGGGGTTTCTGCTTGTTTCTTGTAGCTTGCTGCTTTGCTGCCTTCTGCCTGCCATGAACTACTTCTCCTCTGCAATGCCCCTCTGCCATACTACCCTGTGTTAAAGCCAGCCAATTATTGACTGAAACCTCTACAAACTGTGAGCCAAATAAAACTTTCCTCCTTTAAATTGGATGTTGGATGTTTTGGCTCAGCAATGAGAAGTAATTAAGACAGAAAAGTAACAAGACAGCATCTGTATTATTTTTTTAGTTTAAAATAAAAAATATTTTAATGAAGTGTACATTGAAAGCTTCATTTTGACCCAAAACTTGTTCCCTTGTCCTCATATAGCTGACAGCCATTTCTCCAAGTTCTTACATAGCCTTCTTGCACATTTCTATGCCAGGGCAAGCAAATGTAAATTAACATGAATCTTTCTTTCACAAGAGTGATCCTGTTTTAAACATGATTCTGCATTTTGATTTTTCACTTATTGTATCATGGAGCTCTTTTATTCTGACAACTGAAATGCACCTCAGTGTAAATAAAACTATGAGTCTAGCATAGACTGTCAGAGCCTGGTGAGTGCCTAGGAAATTGTTGGGGGATTGTATTGAATTAAAATAAGGTTAAATAACAATGCAATGTCAATAACAAGCTAAATTTTGTATGATTTTTTAGCACATCTCAAGGACAAGAGATTATAAAAGAAAACTATCAATTTCTCAATGGAGAAATAAATATTCAATTATTTGTAATTTGGCAAACATGTACAGAAGACATATACTGTTCAAGTCTTGGCCAGGTGCTTCATAGAAGCAAAATCAAAAAGATAGATCAGAGCCTTCCTATATTCTAGCCTCTGTCCTGATGGCCTTCTTAGAATGCTCCTTTCTACAATCTTAACACCAACTCCATCCACTGCCACAGCTGACAAGCACTGGTACCTTCTCAACATTCTGATCCCCTTCCTTTTTCCCTGATTAAGTTCCTTCAATGGATTCCACTGTTCCAGGGATCAAATCCACCCCTTTTGGTCAGATGCCACAGCCCTTGATGTCCCCCACCCTGCTTTACATCTCCAGGCATGCTCTGTCCCATTGTAGGATGTCAGTGTGGATCAAAACCCATTCCTGTCTGTGCAGCCCTAAGGCCTTGCCTGCTTGATTCTCATTCTGGAAGGCATGCTCTTCCCACCTTTACATCCTCCCCTGCATGTTATTGCACTGTATTTAACGCATCTTTAACTATCCGTCCTCCCACCCCCACCCCAGCTGGGTGGTAGACCGCTCACACTGATTGTAACCGCTTGCCACTAGTTGGGGTGAGTTAGTGCATCCCAGTCGAATGAATGGCGGACCAAGCTTTCACGTCCAAGCTGTAAGGCCATCCCTGAGAATGTGCAGTGCATGGTGCGAACAGGGGAAGTCCCATGCAATATGCTCTTCAAAGGATGCTCAAGCAGGTGGGAGTGTGCTTCTTTACTCCTCCGTGGCAGAATGCCACACCTCCCTGAGACCTGGAGGTAACAGGTGCAGGTTACCGGTGAATTGGCTGGTTGACGACCACTGTGGTGTTGAGGTATGGATTGCTCAGGCTTTAAGCCTGTCAGGCATCTACTTGTTGCCCTGAGATCCAAATTCAAGGCCCCGCTCCCTCCCTCACGGCCTGGACTTCTCTGGACCCGAACTTGTCCTTGCATCTAGGGCTTCCAGCTCCAGGGACGTCCCGACCGGACTGAGCATGCTCGCGGCCGGCCCGCGCTGTGGAGGGACAAACAACTGGTCCAGCAGCGTGCGCCCTCCGCAGGCCGGGCGGGCGGGTTCTCTGGCCTTGGAGCAGCTTGTCCGAGCCGTGGAGGCTTCTACAGCTCACTGGGCAGAAAAGGAACACAGATGAGGATAG